ATGCCATTCAAAATTTAATTCAAAAAAAAAATAAAGATGCAATAGTTATATTTACTACAAAGTTAATATATATATATATATATAGACGAAACAAAAATGCAACTTCTCAGAATATATTTTTACGATTTTTTTCAAGAATCAAATTTTCTAGAATTAGACATATCTGAAAAACAATATCCAAAACCAATGCATACATTCAAACAAGTGAACATCTCGTGTAATAATAATTTATCGATAGTATAATCTCGATTAAAAAAAATCGCAAATAGTAATAATAATAATAATAATAATCAAAACGTTTATACGATTCCCTGGCCACAGAGATCGTCTCGTCTCGCGATATAACCGATATAACGATTACCCTCCCCTCCCCCCCCCACAATTATTTACTCGCGACTGAAACGACAACCCTTTGGTATCAGAAGATCGTTTTGCCAATACCTCGGATCGATAGCTCCGAGCTTGTTCACGTGGAACCTCCTTATCTTGGATTTTCTTTATTTGCCCGTTTGCCCGTTCGTTTGCCTTGTTGACGCACGATATTGGCGTATCTCGGCTTCGGGCACGCGTATCAGCATCATCAACGCGGCTACACCAGCGGCGAAAGGGGCGGCCGAACGAGGGAGACGAGTGTGTCGGGTGAGGAACGGCGAAGTAAGAAAGATAGATCCACCATTTAACGGTGGACAGGATCATCGTTGTCGAAGACGTCCATACAGGTCGTCCAGCGTCCAGGGGTTTTGTCATCGTGGGCGAGTAACAGCAGAGGGAAAAGGGTCGCCATGCCGGCAGGTATTGGCGCTTCGTACAGGTCGCTAGGCGACCTGGGCGAAGACGTGTACAAAAGCACGACGATCGTGGACCAAACACAGACCACCGGGCAAAGCGTCCTCGAGAGTGTCAAGAAGGCTTTCAGTTTCGCCTCGCCCAAGGTCGAGCTGAGGAAAAAGGACCCTCTGATCGTGGACCGGCGTGAGAGCGTCTCGATCGTCTCAAGGTAATGCCTTATACGATATTGTCTGCGTGTACAGGGGAAAAACCGGTCGGCAGGTAGGGGTGATGGTCGCGCCGTTTCTCGACCTCGGACCTTTCTTGCTTAGATACTCGTTAGATGCTGGTTGAGGGGATTAAGTGATATTGTTTGGACAGATATTTGGTGCACGTTTTGAGTTATGCAAATTATGGAGTTAAGAATCTTTGGATGGTACGGTATGTCAAAGCGAATGGTGAACTAGAATTATTAATGGAAATAATAATAATTCTTTGGAGCTTTTCGACCGAGTGAAATTTAGTTATCGAGAGTTACGTAAAATTTTAATTAACAGAAAATCGATCGAGTTTATACATTGAATAAGTTTTTTTCATTCTACTCTTGCAATGAAATTTATTACGTTTGGCGAAGTAATCTTTTGAGTAATGTGTTGAGATTGAATAAGAGGAATCGATAAAAAGAATTCAAATTTGTTAATAATTGAAATCGTATCGATATTTAAAAAAAAAAAAAAAAAAAAAAAAAAGAAGAAGAAGCACTTTGGAGCTTTTATATCGAATCTTTTTTTAAAGATATCATTGTTCGTATCAAAGAAAGATTTCGAATTGAAAGAGAAACGCGATCAATGAAGGAGGTAACTTGGGCAGAGGCTAAGGAGGTCGTCGAATGATCGGTTCGAGGTCGAAAATGTCGATGGTATATGGTTAGAGTGCTTTTACTATTGGTCACGGTGGTAAACTGGTGGCGTCGAGGAATCGATCGTTACAGTTTCCTGCCTTTTTTTTTAAAGCCAGCTCGGCACTGAAATTAACAACAGACGTTTATTTGCTGCACTTTTGAGAAATGCGTGAAAATAACGAGACTCGCGTTTCAATTATTTAAAAACTCGCCTCTCCTACACAACATCTAACTTACTAACAGCTTTGCTTTTTAACTCGAAAAGAACTCGAAATAAAAACCAAGTTGTTCCTTACACGCATACACATCGCGTCGTTGTTTGGATTGAATTTAAGGGGTCATATTTTGCACGTACCGATCTCCACACCCTTTTTCTCCCCTCGTTCCAATTCGACCAACTCTAACTTTCTATCAGATAAACGACAAATACGAACGACTTCTAACTTCGTTTCTAGAACGAGGAAAAAAAGATTTGGAAGCAAAGATGTTAGGATTCTATTATACCGAGACAAAGAAATCGATTGCTTTCACGATCTATAAATCCCGATCGTTTTTCCCTTTCTTTCTTCCTTTCTTTCTTTTTTCTTTCGAATGCATTTCTATTTACGCTTAATCGAGAAATCGATAACACGATTTCTTCACGCCAATATGGCCCCTCGATCCTGCTTCTTACGTACGGGTAAGAAGAGGTCGTTCGAGGCTGACGACGAAATAGAATAGAAGGCACAAACCGGTGTCCCTGTTATCAAAGAATAATCAAAGACTGGTTTAACCTTAAGCACGGACGGACTTTAGGACCGGAAGTTGGTGGTGCGACTATTGATCGGCCTGGGCACAAAAGCAGGCCACGAGGTAAGCCGCATCATGCGACCTGAACGTCACTCCTTTCCTCGCACTTCCAACCGCGCGTATTATCATCGTTGCATGACTTTTCGACTTCCTACGCTTTCCTGTTTTGCTCGATGTTTGTGTGCGCTCGTTACTTTGACTGTTATCTATGCTGATTTCGAAGCCGTTGGCTGCGCTTGCAAAACCGCTTGATAACTGTTCGCAAATTACGAACGAAATCTTTAATCACGAGTGAGTGAAGATATCGGGAGGAGTTTAATTGATGTTTACTCTTTTTTTTTTTAAGAAAAAGGGAGAGTTTAATATCTTATCGGGAAATTTTTTATTATTCGATGAATCTATGTTTAAGTTAGATAGATGCAGGAGGAGTTTTTCTTTGAAGTTGGTTTTCAATTTGTTGTCAATTGCAGATAACGATTGTAGTTTCACAGGGTATGCGTCATCGATCATCACTCGTTTCGTATAATATTTGTGTGATATCGGCGAAGAAAAATAATTAAATAAAAAGAATGAAAAGAAAATTGTGAAAAGGTAAAAATGTAATCCAGTTTACTTTGACACACGAAGATGGATTAAATTTTTCAACAAATTATAAATCTTATAAAGAGATTGCTACGTCTACGTGATATTTAACTTGTTATTTTCAGCAAATTATTTACATTTTAATTCCTGTTAACAAACGTTTAAATTTACACAGATATTTTCCTTTATCGTCTAAATTGCCACAAATCTCTCTAACCTCCATACGTCTCTCGATGTCAGAGAAACGAAATGACAATGATTTATAAATTAGAAAACCAATATGAACCAATACTTTTATACCAAAAACATACACATCCACAAACAATATCTGCGTAAAATTGATAGAGCCAACTTCGAAGAAACAGAAACAGGTTAAACCGAACAAATTGCGAAAGATTAAATCCTAAAAACGTAAAAATCTAAACGTGTGATCTCTCTCGTGTCTTCTCTCTCGTGACTCGAGCTAACACCAGTGTTACGTTATTATTATCACCAATTCTTTTTTTTTTTTTTTCGTCATGCACGGATGTGTGTTTCTTTGTCCTCGCAACGCTCGAGTTGCATTAGCGTGTGGTTCGTGGCGCGCGACGACAACGCGTGCGTTGCGGAACCGGCTTCTCGGTTCGAGAGATCCTCTCCTTCGGAGGTCGATCCTCCGTACAACGTTGCATATATATTATTCACCACGACACTCTCTCGACCGCACAGATCCTCAATTTCCTTGGCGTGGAACGGTCGAACCGTCTTTGTTGTCGCGAATGTTAACCGCCAGACGAACGTTCCACCGCTCTGGTTCACTTTTATCACATCATCCTTCGAATCTTCTTTCCGTGCTGAATCGCGGCAGAATGATCGCGTGACATCGTATTCGCGGGATGCGGTTTGCTTTCCGACCGGAAAAAGCAATAGTTTCCAGTTTATGAATGGGAATTAAATTGAATTATTTTAGAGATTTGTATGCTAATTTTTTCTTTTTTTTTTTTTTGTAAGAATGCAGTAAAATGTATCGCTTGCTAATGTTTGTTTGTTTCTGACACCCGGGTGGAGGGCCGCGTTTGTAAGCCGCTAGGGCCGGCCGTTGTTATTATTCGCCGCCATTTTGTTCTAGGGAAAGAAACAGGATGCCGACCGCCGCCACACCCGAGAAATCAGCACTTTTGGGGTAAGTTTCGTCGGATACAAAGACAACACCTGTAGAAACTATTGTATTTACATCGTGCAATTGGAAAAGAAACACGTAGGTAGATAATCGGAGCCAAGCTGTTGTATACCGGCTGTAATAATACTTATCGACATCCGTTCCATAGGGATTTTTGTTGTTGAGGTGTTGCGAAGAGAGAATTGGCATTGACCCCGATATCAATAAAGCTTCGAATGATCGTCAAGATAATTGGCAGCTATATTATTAAGAGTGGCAAGAGTTATTATTTCTCTTCAAAAGTACGAAAGACAAGTCAAGGTTTGCTTCCGATAAATCGTTAATATCAAATGTTACGCACACGTAACGTACACACGCGCGCACACGCACACACACACACACATCTCCGACATAAAAATCTAGAACGATAATTTCGACGTGGTGTCATGTTTTATACGTGTATTTTCCTTTTTTTTTTTTCTTTTTCATTTTGCGAAGTTATCGCAATTCCCAGGAGTTCTCTAACGCAAGAGCGAATCGATAGGATGCATTAACTCGGCGAAAATGAAATTGTAATGGCGAGAGGGTTGTATTGCGTGCGACCTATTTCTCCCAACGGTTTATCGAATGATCGTTTTCGCCGTTCACGCGTGGAAAATATATTTTTCGATCGCCAAGTTTAAAAGTTTTATCTGGATATTATCCACCGTGGAAAGTATATTGTATCCCTTTCGATTATTTCGAACGAGCCCTTCGCTCCGCTCTTTGTCGGTGAGAACGAAGAAAGTTGTTGGAAAATTTGTCGCCGTTGCGTCTCTCCCTTTCGAATGTAAATTTCGAAGCATAATTCATAAAAGTATTATTATCTCAAGGCTCTGGAGGGAGGGGGGATGATCTTTTTTAATTCCTTCCTTCGGATTAACATCCGGCCAGGAATTGACAATTAATTAAACTCTCGTTCATTCGTTCGTTTCTTATCCTCAATTTTTTTCTTTCGGGATGAAAGGACACGGTTAGAAGGAATGGATACGAGGCACGAAGTTAGAACGCAGCTTTTTTCCAACAAGACGGGGGATTTTAATGAAGTTTGTGCGTTATGTAACACCGCGAATCGAATACGTTTGTGCGACGACGAGCCAATTCGAGGCGAGCGGATTTGACGTTAAATTTCTCGTATTGTTTCCCACGATTGTGATCACACTTTTATCTTGATTCGAGGTTGAGTCGTGAATAATTCCTTTGTCGAATACGTGGCAATTGTAACACGTAATAAACGCCCGATCGACGTGTATTGTATCGTGTCGTAATTAACTTCATTTCCACGTGAATTCTCTGCCTCCGTTTTATTTATACACACGTGGCCAACTGTTCGTCACCGTGACTAATTTCGAAACATCCATCTATCCGTCCATTCGAAACAATTGGTGCCAATTGGAATCGTTAAAGATTTCGTGAACGTAATAAATTTGTTGTGTATTTGTAACATTGATCGATATCGGCATTTTAAAAACGGTGTGAATCACCGTTGCACTTTCCTCTTGTACCGAAATTGGATAATCAGACAGAGCGGCGCCCTACTTGCAATCGGAACCGCTTCTGTGCTTCTTCCTTCTGATCGATCTTCGTTGCAGAGCAATTAACGGTGAAATTAGGATTAATTACGGTCCATTAAGGCAGAAAACAACGAGCCAATTGTTCAACAACATTGATTTTCCCGGTTTAAAAATATTTACTCGAAATAGAATACGCGTTTCCGTGTTACATGGAGAGAATAAAGAAGTTGAGGATTATCGATCTACGTGGTATTTGTGTCACAGGCTTGTGATGGTTGACAGTGCCACGTTTAACTTGAAAAATAACGATGGAGAAGTGAAGTTGAGTTTCGCGTTTCATTTTTTTTTCTCTTTCCTTTTTTTAAATCTTTTTCTTTAATCTTAAATCTTTTCTCTAAATATAGAAAGTATATCGTATCAAGAATTTTTTGAAGTCAAGACGCAGAAAATATATATAGCTTGAATCTTTCATGGCTGATAGATAATTTCGTTTATATATTTTAATCGTTTTAATTATTAATTATTTTGTTTTTAATTTGAAAGAAGAACGTTTTAGTCTTTTTCTTTTTTTCTTTTATATGTCAACGAAATAATCTAATTACTTTTCATCGATTCTCATTCGCTTTTTCATCGTGTTATATACAGTTATATAAGTTGTACGTGATGATGAATGGTGTTAACAGGACATTAAAATGTAAAAAATTCCTTATGACGCCGCGAATTCATACATTCATTTTGCTCTACTTTCGCTGAAAAATTCGTTTTCGTGCCACTTGGCAGCATGCCGGATCCACCTGAATTGCAGGATCCTCGGGATTTAGCTCAATTTCCAACTCGATAGAAACAATGGGCCAATTTCCCCTCTCTCTTTTTCCAGCGTTTTTCAAACGTTTAGAGGGAATATTGAGTCGGGAACGTTGATCGAAACATTGGAAAATCTGAATCTTCTACACCATCATTCCGTGAAATCGAAATTTTCAAGACCAACCACTTGTGCAATCTTTAACATCCATCCACGTTTCCTTCTTTCGTTTATTAGGAAACGTCACGAAAACGTCACTTTTATAGCACCAATATGCCAAAAGATATAATTTATTCGAAAATAAAATTACTTATTGCGACATTTACAGGGAAGAATAATGGAATAATTAATTTCCAATTTCATAAAAGTCTATATTCTTCTAATAAGATTCTTCTAAATAAAAAAACTTTCCTACGTCATTATCCATTTTTAGGAATAATATTTTAATAATGACGCAATAGAAGAGTGAACGTAAATTTTTAACTCTAATTAACAACTTCAACGAAATATTCTCTTCATTATATAGACATACCCACGCTCTATTATATATATATATATATATCCCGATCATAATTATAACTAATTAACGAGAACAGAGGACAAAATTCGTGTCAACTGTCATGCAACCCAGCCTTCCTTTATAAACTGTCAAATTTCAATAGCAGATGTACTCGTGTTTCATAATTGCATAGCATGAGTGTAGACAAATGGCCAGGAAATATGCAAGGTAAATTAGAACAAAAACCCGGCGACGACTCGTCCAGGATCAGAGGCGAACGAAAGGTAACGAATTGTTGTGCAATTGCAGTTAATGCATGAATAGAATATATTTGAATTCTTTGATACTTTTATTATATTACATTACCTTTAGGATGCATTTTTTTTTTTTTTTTTCGTTTGATATTGGGCATCGAGCTGTGTTTCTCCATCCTTCTAAACGCAATTTGAATTTATTTTTCTCTAGATTAGAATCGCTTTGGCAAATGATCTATACTCTGCATAGATCTCAGACTTGATTGTTTTTAAAATGATATTATTAGAAATGTTGTCATGTTATTTCATACTTGTGATGTAATATATGTACACCACTTTATTCGAGATATTATCTCTAGATGTTAAAAAATTAATATTTTTTACGAATTTAAAGAACGAACCTGCATATAAATTTGCTCTTTTTTTTTTTTTAAATTATAAGAATTACACTTTGAAGGATTATATTTCATTTATTCTTATATAAACTCATATTGTTCTACTCTCTTTCAACCTTCTTATTTCGACGTTGAATAAAATTTGGCCAGATCTAATTTCTTCGCCGCCAATAATCGCTCGCTTCGGTTTTCGAAAAGAAAGCCTGATTCCATAAGCCGTAAGGGAAAGATGTAAATCGATCTAATCCCGGCAGCCTCGTCTTACATTGCATCTCTCTGCTCGAACGGTGAACAGGTTACTTGCTAATAAAAAAAAAAAAAAAATCTCGTGTGCAGCTCGGTTAATCGATCGGTAAAAAGGATATGAACGAGATATCGAATGACGTGGATATCGAATGTTCCTTCGGCGGTGGTTAGCCTGCTAGCTTCCTAGCGACAATCGATCGAATGGGTTTCTTGGGAATCCAACATTTTCTTTTTCTTTGCCAAGTGTTATGTACCACCTCGTCATATATAGATATATATATACCTGTTCCTACCCACAGCAATTTTACTTCGTATCTCAGCTTTTGCTTCTGTAAATTTATGTCGGTTCCAATTTTATCCGTATCGTTCCGTAACGTTGAATTATTTATGAACGTTTAATCCTCGTGCGTTTAGCATATTTCTTCGTGTTAATATATCTATATTCGCTCATATCATGATCTAATAGAAGAGATCTAATAGAACGTGCAGAATAAATTCAGAGGAGCTTAATATTTTCTTCTCGCGTGGTGATAAACGTAAAAACGAAAAATATTTTGATTTTGATTTATGCAAATTAATATCGTTACAAAAAAATATTATTTTGTAATATACATCTGTTACAATTTTTATTAAAACATTTGTAGCTTTCAATCAAAGACTTGTTAAATTCATCTCGTTTTCCATAAATTTTCTGATAAATTTACAAAGCGTGGGAGCGCAAGGGAAACGGATAAAACTCGTTAATATTATTTATGCCAAGTTTGCACACATTGTGGCAGATATTCAACGGTAATAAAATACAATCATAATTACACTCACGTTTTAACGAATCCGTTATCTACATTTAAACACTTGAGTTTTAAAGCGTTCGTTGCCTGTTTATCTTGCTCCATATTTAAATCTTCAGATTTTAAATTTCGAATTACCTTTGGAAAATCTCGCTCTAGCATCCGCGATTAATTTGCAACAGTTTGAAACGGGTTTGAAGGCCCAGCTTAAAAACTCTCTGACTTCTCGTGAATGCGAACACCTCGAAAATTGTGCCGTTTTTCTGCCCGTCGAGTCGTTGAATCTGGTCACTGGTTAAATCCTCCTTTTCACAGATATTGTGTCTATTCAACAGCTTTTCACGCATTTCTTTTTCCGCAATTTTCGCTAACACCTCTTACAAAGAATAAAATTTTCCCCTTCCCAGAAAGAGTTATATACGCCAAGTAATTTCGAAAGAGAAAAGGAAGAATGGCAGATTTTCAGTTTTCAATGGGGTTTTTTTTT